TGGTGCAATTAACGGAAATCAAGTTGAAGGTTAAACGCGAAACCAAAAAGTGGCTCAAACACGAGTTTTTGCAAAAAAAAAATTTCACCGCAGGTTTGCGAATGCTGTGGGACTGTCGTGAATGTCCGCCACGGGATTTTACATTGCAGAAAGTTTGAAACAGCCAGAGTGAAAGTGTGAGAAGATTCTAAAGAAGAAAACAGAAAACGAGAAGATAATGAAGAAGAAACAAAATAAGATGAATCGAATGAAGAAGACGGATGAAGATGAAAAGAATAACGGAGATCATACAGAAGAAAGATGCTGGAAAATGTAAATTTTCGAAAATGAAGTTAAAAAACGAACCAACCGAAGACGGAGTCGACTAGTGTAGTGCTTGATTGTCACCGATAGGAATTCGTCAGGGAACTTTGAGTATATCAATGAAGATCTCTGCTCCAATGATGTTGTCGATAGTATTGGTATTGTCAAACGACGGATCGAAAAGCTGAATACTGAGTGGCATGTCCCAAATCAAAGTATTGACGGATGTAGCTGGTAACCCAGGCAAAGTCTGAGATCATATTGAAAAGCCAAATTTGATATTGTGATGTCTCTGATAATGATTACTCAGGTTGCTGTCGTTTTGGTCGTTTTAACGGTTAAAATATCAAAATTGAGAGTAAATAAATCTTCCTGTGACATCACATTGAAAACAAATTCTGCTATCAGTGAGAACAAAGTGAAAACTCAATTTGATGTTCATTTTTCCTGTTGAAAACAAAATTAGTATTCAATTTGATGTTCTGCTAAGGCAATGAAAACAAAACTGCTGCAAAATATTTTTGAACTTAAATCAAATTATGACTTCGGTTTGATGTTTCAATCAAAATTTGATTTCGATTTGCTATCATTTTAATGCTGGACTTTGCTCGGGAAGTTGACGGTATCCTTCGGCAAAAGGAGGAACTCGACGTTGGTGAAGTACTTACCAACTCGAGAACGGATGGTGGACGAAAATTTCAGCTTGGCTTGAGTGGATGCTTGATCAATGCTGGTGATCGACAAGTGTATCTTCTTTCGTTGCACTTTGATACCTTGAGAAAAGCTTTCGGCGATAAAGCAGCACTCGCTTCCTGAGTCCAGGAGATGACTGCAGTAGCCAGTCGAACTATTTTCTGCTTGTGACCAGCGGAAACGCAACTTATCGACTCAACGGCCGAAGTAGACGCTGACGTAGTCGGAGCATCAGAAGTTGTAGTATGTGTGACAGATCTCGGTTGTTGGGAGTTGACAGGCTTCGAATTTGACGTCGGAGAGGGGAATCGTTTGAGCAGGGCTGAGTATGATGTCGTCCACGGCAATTGTGGCAATTGGAAGACAACAAACAATCACCCTTTCGCAAACAATTTCGTCAAAGCTGATGACGACGTACTTCCTGCTCCTTTTCTTCAACCGAAAGGGTAGACAAAATCTCACAACGGTATAAAGGGTGATGATCAGAGCAGATGACGAAGTCCGGTCCTTGAATGTTATCGCTTCGGTGGTCGTCGAGCGTTCCTCCTATTCTTGCCTTGTCGTCGAATCGAGTCATCTGCTGAGAATGCGGATGAGCAGAATGTCCCAGTACTCGGTTCGTTCACCTAGTTGCTGAAGAATCTTGACATTTGCTTCTAATTTCTCTGCCAGGCTGTGAAGTTTTATTGAAGATTTCCTGTTCAGTGACGGGAAACCAAAGAATGCAGCCACGTATGCCAGCTTTAGCCAAGCAGAGCTCCGGAAGTGCTCCAGCAGAAGGTTCCATGCCACTGGGTAGTTATTTGCACTGATCGGTCTTGTTTGGGCTAGTTGAAGAGCTGCATTGGACAACGACGGCCGCAAATAGTAAAACGTTTGAATGCTCGAAATACCGACCGACGAGTGGGCAAACGCACCTGCGATGCCCACGGAAGGAGTTGTGCCTCTGAATGATTCGACGAATTCATGCTCTGATTTAATTGACTTTTATTATGTGCCAGAAGAAAGCCCTTCACGCGATAGTAAGCGGACTCAAGCGACGTCCGCTCCTTCAAGTGGGCCTCGATAGCAGCTTCGTCAATCGTCGCCAGCTCGCTCTGGACTGTGTTTTAGTTGGACCAGTCAGACACTTCGTTATCCTGCGTCTCTTCATCGTTGTCATCTACGAAAGCCTTGATTAGATTAAGCAACGTCACCAAACTTTTCAGTCGCAGTTTCAGCGACTTGATGTGACGCTCGGACGACATTGAAGAATAAGATTTGTGCGTAGCACAATAGAGGTAACTCTAAGACCAGAAGGTCTCGAAGAAACGTGCTCAACTTTTTGACTCAGCTCTGGTACTCTCTTCGGTCAAAAACTTATCGATGCACGCCTCGAAACATAGGAAAATCCATGAACCCCTCATTTTATCTATCAAATTTTCATAGCGAAGCGGCACCGGTGGTGTAGTGGCAAGCGTGATTACCTCTCACCCCAACAGGCCTGGGTTTAATCCCATTTGGTGCCGCCGGGATTTTCTAAGGCATAACATCTCTGATCACGCCTTCCTTCGGAAGGGAAGTAAAGCCGTTGGTCCCCGGTCCATGAGTTGATGGATCGATAGGTAGGGTCCAAGTGTGGGAGTCGCCTCTCTGGCATCAGTAGCATTGGTGCTCAGCACGGAAAAAAAGATCGACGGAAAACAAATCAAGGAAAAAGCCTCGAAGCGATACAATTGAAGGATCTTCTCAAGACAGTGAATTTAACTTGTATAAATAGTAAATCTTGAAGATAAATTTTGAAGCAGTAGTTAAGAAGGAAGATGGCGGTAAACCAGTAGAACTTTCTGGGTTATACAGTCGGAATAATGGCAATTGAAGTGTAAATCACTTAAAGATCCTCAGTGGGTTCAATGGCAGATGTACGATGGTGACTCACCAGACCAAATGTCGAGAGCAGTAGCAGCAGAAAATTGTACCAATGATTCTTCTTGGATAATGATTGATTGATGACGTCGCTTCTGCAGAAAAAGGATGCTACCAATTGAAATTTATGTTTTGGGCTATTACCGATGTCGATCAACGAGGGGATTTTCACTGTCGGAACCAAGCCGCTACCAAGCCTTTGGGATTTTCCTTATTAGAGAGTTAAATAGATTTTTCTCCTTTAGCTTACTTAAATCTTTGGTTTTAATTAGTTAGGTAGGTTCCGATTCAACACATTGTAGTTTCATTTATATACCTGTGATCTTGACTTTTATACCTAGGGGATGAGTACTTAAGGGGGTTAGATTTTGATAAGTTCTTTAGTGGGAATGACACTGATGAAGACTGCACATTGTAGTCGAAATACGTATCTGTCATGGATACCAAAATTAATTAAGTGGAATTAAATGGAAGATAACCCCTTTTTTTGCTGTTTTATTAAAGCATTCCGCTAACAACCCAATTTCATTACTTCATTAAAATGTTACTTGGGTTGACTTCCACGCTGTCCATAGGGGTATACGAGTAGACTCTCTTATTCGTTTGCTTACTATAGCGAGGATTATCTTTTGGTACAAACACATCGATAAATCAAAACTCATCTGTATAGATGCCGCCAAAATCTAACTATTTACTCTACCATTTTAGAGACTTGAAGTCTTCGACATAAAAATCATAAAAATAAGGAAATCTCAGGAGTCGTCAAAATTTCATAATCTACTATTTGCGAGTAATTTGGAAAACAATAAATAGGGTGGAAAACGACTTCGCCCCCTCCCCCGCCGAGATGCCGTCTTCCGCTCTAAATCTTGAAAAAACTGTTTTTCTCAATCTTTTACATATTTTCATTAGTTAGATATCACATCAAAAGAATCTCAATTGAACTTTTCAATACCGAAAAAAATAACAAATGCAAAAGATTTTTTTCAAATTTAACATACACTCCCGATCGTAAGTTTAAGGACACCCCCAAAAAATAAACCTGACAAATTTGTTATGTTCATATCTCTGTCATGTTACTTCCAATTTTCGTTCTCTTTAGACAATTTGAAAGGTATTGAATGGAACTTTTGTGTGCTAAAAGTTCACCAAAAGTTACAATATTTTGCAAAATTTACTCTAAAGAATCTTGACTGATTTTCTCAGAATTGGGTTGGCCAAATTTTGAAATAAAAGTAGTAGTAGAACACTCATGCTATACCATTCATACCATTCAAATAACCTTTAGAGATCTTAAAATGAGAGATCATTGAACAAAACATATTTGCATGGTTTTTTTGGGGGGTGTCCTTAAACTTATGATCGGTAGTGTAAATCTATTCAAATTTCAGTTAATTATTAATTATAAAAGAATGTTTAGAAATTTTTCACCACTCATCGTGTTGCAAATTTGACATCATGCTTTCGTTATCAAAAATATTCATAACGAACCCAATACCCTTTTACTCAAAATGCTTTCAAGTCTTCTCAAATGCCGTGCCATGGCTGAAATTAAAAATAGCAAAAAAAAAAATGATCATACATCGTGCTTCAACGTGGGCTAACGATTCGCGTCATCGCGTTTTCCATGTTGCACGCGTCAGAGGAGGATGAAAAAAAAAATAAAAAAACACAAACCAAAAGTTTTTGACTGGTTCCTCCTACCTTTCATAGAGTGCCTTCATTGTGCTCCCAGATAACAGGCTGAACTGTGGAGCCCGATAACAAAACCAATTAAAAATCGAATTAAGCTTGTTTGTAAACCACAGTAAAAAGCGGAGCTCTGATACAATGTGTGGTTTGGCGATGCATGTTTATGCCCTTTTATGGCTGGCTGGTGGTGAATCGAGGGTTGCCAAGTTCAATTACGGTGTGGGTGATCTATTGGCATTTATTGAGTTTGATGGGGGTAGATGGCCTTCGACTATTTTGTTTGCTCCATTAAACTAGATCATAATAATAAGCTTTATTTAAACATATGAAACTACTTATTTTCGACATTCATAAACTATACATCTTCGACATGGTTATCTTTTAAAAACAATTAACGTCGAAAATAATTCCCGAGACAAAATTCAAATGAAACATTCGAGATCCAAAGCCGGGCGTCTGTCTGCTGTGTCAAATGTTCCATCGGAATCCGTCGATTGGCAATAACGAGTAAACGTTACTACCCTATTTGGGCACATTTTCGATGGCATTCATCACAAAGACGAACGAGTTCGTTGCGATATTGAACCAGGGCTTTTCGAGCAAACCGTTCCACATGTCGCCCGCCGGTCCGCTGATCCCATCCATAGATCTTGCACCGGCGAATGACCTACCACCGTTCAGATATTCGATATAGTCGTAATCCGACGTCAGTGGGCTTACTTTCGAGTAGTAGATAGCGGCAAAGGTAGAATAGATGACGAGGATGGCTGTTAAAATCTGGAAAGCAGAAGGAAAGGTTTTGGATTAAGCCCATATCACTCATCCTACCCAACCCGGGTCTGGATGCCACAAACGGGTCCACGTCAGAGATTTGTGCTAATATATTGAACGCATATTTTACCTGGAAAATGGCCCAAAATTTGTACGATCCTTCGGTGATTACGAAATCGTAGTATCCATTCAGCGGGTCTCCCTGGATGTACCTAGCACTCCCGGCAGCTCCCACAGCGGTTGAGTTTCCTGCCGAAAGAAAAACAAAAAAAATAGAAAAGATTAACGGCTTTCATGAGAAAACAAATCTTTTATTTTCCCTGCGACAGTGGGGCTTTATTTCTGATCCCGACTAGCAAAACGAGAAAAACAATTCAATCCACTCTGACTGTGAGCGTCTCGCAGTTAGTGATATACGCTTGTTCCCCCACCACGGTTTTCCGTCGTATCTTGATCGGGAAAAAGTAAATCCTAATCAAAGTTGCTCGTTCTGAACGTCGAGACGAAAGGAAAACTTTTTCACTGAAATCCTCAACACGCTGCCTAAATTTTGCGGAAACGGCAGATAGCACCAGCTTATTAAAAACAGACCAACCATGTACGAGCGACGAACGAGTAAAACCAAGTCTCAAGTTGATGAAAAAGTAAAGCATACAAAAACGAAATGTAAATTCCATTTAACAGATTTTTCCGTGGGTTTTCCCGCACTGACTGAAGCGAAGAGTAGAACCAACTTGCAGCAAGTATCAACACAAAGCTAGGTATCTCTGAGAGGATGCAATTCACAGTTCGCTGTAATTAGTAGGTACCTGATGTCAGCCCCGGATTCGCATTGTATGAAAGCGGCATTCTCTGCAACTAGATGCATGTGCCAGACTGCATTGGAGAGTTTACGAAACGTATGGAAATCAAACTAAAGGTTGAACATACGAAAAAAATCTGAACTCAATTTTTTTGTTTTTTTTTATGTATATAATGCGTTTATTTTTCCAGGCTCTTAAAAATCTTGTTGGGAATTAAAAATGCGTTTCATTTTTCATTGTTCATTGTAACAGCTATACATAAGTAGGTATTATGCTTATTGTAAGACCATTATTTCAGTATTCCTTCTTACCATATAGGGGAAATGGATCTAATGGGTCTAAGATTGGGCCCATCGCTAAAACTCTGCTATTTATCAATTTTATCTATGACGCGTTCACATGTCAAATTCCATTTCCGCTTTAAATTCTTCAGATCAATTAATCATGTTTTGTTGTTTTTGGCATCATCCACATCGAGAGGGCCAGTCACTTTCGAATGTATGGGAATGGTAGGAAACCATTTGGAAATGCAAGAAAATTTTCAGTTTTTATTCATTATCGTCTCTATGGGCAGTTTTAGAGCTTGAGCTTGATTGACCGTCCACGGTTGCTACTCTGTTACTGCCAGATCAGCTGTAATTACACAGAGAATCAATAGACGATGCTTGGGACTAGCAATCATCCTCAATGTGTAAAAACTGGTGATCTTAAATTAGGCAATACCAGCGCCGGCCGCGCCCGAACACAGGTCAAGAAAGGAATGGGAAGGATTGTGTTGACATGACACTCACTTTGATGGAAGCCGAGAACACCTCTGCACTTCCACGAGGAATCACTGGGATGTTGGATAAGAGGGTTGGGTTTGCAGCAGGGTTCGTTTTGGTAAACGATAAGCTGAATTGATGTCCTAACGATCATATAACGCGAAGGAGTTTGGGACTTAACCCACGGTCTTCTGCTCAATAAGCAAAAACGTTTGCCACTAGGCAGACGGGCACCTTTTTAATCACAGAGTTGCTGTTATTATCATGTAGTCATATTAACAAATAAAACGATTGATGAATCTTGAATGTGGATGGGCCTGAGATTAGACTCATGATGTTCTGCTCAGTAAGCAAAAACGGTTGCTCTAAGGCCACCGAGCCCCTCATATCATATAATACCGTTGCTCAAATTTGTGTATCCATTCAAACCCGGAACCAACGACAACAACGAGTTTCGCAAAATACACGATACACAAGCGATTTTACCATAAATCTCTTTGATATGTAAGGACCTGGGACCGCATTTTTCTGCTCAGTAAGCAGGCCACTGTAACAAATGATCTTTCAAATCCGAAGACTAAAAACTACGAAAAAGTACTTAGGCCTTCATTAAGTTCGACTTTCACGCGACGTTCAATGACAGGGTCCTATCCAGGATTACATCTGAAAAATCCAAATCTGGCCAACGCCCACCTAAACCTGTTCTAATCCACCTGAAATGACTAACGAATGGAAGACATTGACTACCCAGCCATGCAATAGTCTCATTCCGTGCCTTATGGCAACTTGATGATTCTATTGCGCTCATCTTTTGGCACCATCCAGGGGAGACTTGGTCCTGTACCCAATGCTTAACTTATCTCCATTCCACTCAGCTACTCGCAATTTCTTGTGATATAGTGGGCGGAATATTATTATATGAGACAATTCAATGCAGACGTCTTTCCAAGTTTGGCAGATCGACAGGTAATCGGTGAGTTACCACGATAGTTGCTATTCAACAACTCGACAACGTCCCATCGTCAACGCCTGCTATGAGAATTTCCCATTGCAGACGCCAACGAAATGACGTCATCGAGCTATCGATCAACTACCCTGGTTATCGCCTGGTACCTTATAGCACGATGCTAGAAGGCGAACCGGAAGAATCGATGAGCTACCTCTCCCCCGTCTCTATGGGCAGTTTTAGATGCACAAAAAATGCACGAGTATATTACTATGGTGATAAGGTAAACACTTGTTTATTTGTTTCCTTCTGTGAAAGCATGTTTAATCACAAATCGTGGATTTTCTAATATTCTCCATACTGCAAAAATGATTTTCCTACCACTGAAGGGGAGACATCTCTCGGATCTTCAGTATAGCTACTACTCAAGTCATATAATTAATTGCAGTTCCACCCTTTTTCTTCAGCATGTGTTTCACAATTGACCGATATTCCTCAATTGGCCTTAGTTCCGAAGTATTGGCCTGATGCATCTCCTTGGGAACCACTGTGACGCCATTTTTGCTGTACCGCTGTTTGGTAGAATTTGAGTAGTGGCCTAGAGGCAATTCAGCTGTACTCTGAGCTAATATATTAACATTGAGTAACTGTGGGTTACTTGTATTTACTAAAAGAATAACTAAGTCAAGAGAAAATTTTCAATATTTTTTTCCTTTGGTTTGTTTTTTCCGTCGATCTTGTTTTCCGTGCTTAGCACCAATGCTACCGACGTGCCAGGAAGGCAGCTCCCACACCTGGACCCTACCTATCGACCCATCAACTCATGAACCGGGGACCAACGGCTTTACTTCCCATCCGAAGGAAGGCGTGATCAGAGATGTTATGCCTCAGAACATCCCGGCGGCGCCGACTGGGATTGAACCCAGGCCTGCTGGGGTGAAAGGTAATCACGCTTACCACTACACCACCGGCGCCGTTATACCCTTTTCTTCAGCATGTGTTTCACAATTGACAGATATTCCTCAATTGGCCTTAGTTCCGAAGTATTGGCCTGATGCATCTCCTTGGGAACCACTGTGACGCCATTTTTGCTGTACCGCTGTTTGGTAGAATTTGAGTAGTGGCCTAGAGGCAATTCAGCTATACTCTGAGCTAATATATCAACATTGAGTAACTGTGGATTACTCGTATTTACTAAAAGAATAACTAAGTGAAGAGAAAATTTTCATTATGTCAAAAGTAACATTCGCACCGATCCGAGAAAAATAAAGTTTTGTATTGATGACCGAAAAGTTATTCCTATTTCCAATTGAACACATTTAATCTCATAGTGATAGCAATGTTTAACATACTAAGCAGGGTTTTAATCATACAAATCAAATCGCTAGCTTTCATGCTAAAAAAAAACTGGTTTCTGAGTTATTATACTGCTTATAGGGCCACCCCTAATGTTGCTAAAGTCAAAATGTATTTACCAGAATGTTCGGGAGAATTATCAATCACGGCTCCTTACGTGCAGCCCGTTCATCATTTTAGGACCACCGACATCATCTTAGCAACAAACAGTTCGATTTATTCACTTTAATAATGAGAAAGCGATGCGACGAACGTACACTTTTCACGGGTTTCTCTGCACTGTTACTTAAGACCAGAGTTAATGTACACGTGCATCCATCCCGCGTGATAGAGACACGCTTTCAATCAGATCGTAGGTGCCTGGTACATTTCGAGACGAATTATTTCGCGTCTCTTTTTTATTCCTACGTGCCTCATTCGTGTCACATGTGCTGTGTCTCATGAGCTAAGCTCGGCGAGCTCCAGGGAGATCGGCAGCGTACCTACGTCTTGCGTGCATGCTAAAAGTGGCTGGTTGGTGATAAAGAAAACAACGGAGAACTGTTGATCGAGTAGTCCTGTCACACTCTAGTGGTGCTGGTACAGCTGATTGATTTGAACCATTCCATTGATGGTATTCAGTTTTTGAGCTTTGTGGTTTTATAGAAGTATTTCAAGCGAAAGATGAGTTAAACGATTACAAATCAATTACCGGCGGGGTTATTTGTTACCGATCCATGCGCATGGAATTTTCATGGTTCATGATTTTGCTCGACCAAGTTCAAACGATTTAAAATCAGCTCCTATTCATTCTCATAAAATTTATTCTCATTAGGATGTGAGCTCATACTGCACTTGGCTCTTTAAAGTTTATGTGGGAATTGAAAAATAGAACGTTAGGATAATTAGTTATTAATTGATTAGGAAGATGATGTTCTTCTGACATGCTCCATTTACTTCTCAGCAGACAACGATGGAATAATAGGAAAAACAATCCAGGCTATTATGTCATAAGGGCAACATGCAGTGTTGCCCTGAAAGCAGATGATTAATCCTACCAGAAAGTTATCAACTTAGAAATAAAATAATAACTAATTTTCTAGACATTCAATTAAATCGTGGTTTTCAACAAAGTGGTTGCTGAGAAAATTTCACGTATGGAAGGGGGGGGGGGGTTCCGATGGACAACTTTTTACGTAAATCATTATGGTGTAGGGCTAGAACGATGAGGACAAAAGTACACTTCTTATAGCAATTCCCATATAAACTTCAAAGAGCCAGTGCAGAATGAGTTCGCCATCAAATCAGCTCAATTTTTGGGAGATTGATCAGCCTGATTTGGAACCAAAGCTTGGTTGATCAAATTGAAACCATCATAATATAATAGGTACTTTCCCGCTG